GACCCACACACAACACATCATGTACCAGTCTCTGCTGGCTGTGCAGCGTGGACAGCTTGATGGGAGGGAGGTCTAGATGCTTTCCGACATAATCTTCCCTGCCTCCTGCTGGGCTCCTCTGAGGAAACGAAACTTTCCCTCTTTAACCTGAGAATGTAGTTTGTATTCACCTCAGCTGCCATGCATTTAAAGTAAGCCCAACTCTTAAGTCCTATTTCTGTAGAATAAAAGTAGCCCCGTGTGGATAAAGAAACTAATAAGGACAGCAAAGTTTTTGTTCTAACACCTGGAAAACCACTCACCTGAGCACCTGTTTGCTGCCTAGGCCTGGGCAGAGTTTAGGACGGTTGCCCAGATCTTTCTGTTCGCTACGTAGTAACCCTGGGGCACTCCGGCGCCAGCTGACCGGCCCCCCACCCCCGCAAATGTGCAGATTGGGTTGAAGTAATCTAAGCACGTCCAAGGGTACTGGGAGCCTGGAGCCCATGGTTTTCTAAAGCAGATGAAAGGCAGTGGTGCTCAGAGAACCACATCTGTGATTATGGGGAAAAGATGCTAAGAGTCATAAATTTATAAAATCAGCGAGTGGCTGAGGGACAGCAGAGGAGCACGGAGAGTGATGGCAGGGCCCAGCGCACAGCAAGAAACGGGGACAAGTGGCCGGGCTGCGGGAGGACGGATCTGAAGCCAGCCAGCCTCTTCCCTCCCCGGCCGGGGGGGCAGACAGCCACAAGGTTCGGGAACTAGTGTCCCTCTCTGGGGACACTGCAGTGTGCTGTGCAGTAGATGGAGAAGGCAGGACAAGGGCATCCGCTTGCCCTGCCCGTCCTGGTGAGTGACGAGCCAAGCCGGGAAAATGGGAGTGCAGGGCGAGAAGGGTCGGCACCAGCAGCCGCCATCACCTCTAGTACTCCTGGAGCCGGGGCCTTAGGTCCCCGATATCCTCGAGATCCCCACGTCTTGTTCCCCAGATCTTCATCCTTGTGGAAAGCAGCTCGGGTGAAAGTGCATGCCTGGCCACGGAGGTGTGTGCGAGAGAAGCCTGGCTTTCTGTGGTGTCTCCCCAAGGGGGTGTCATCAGGCCCTCTGCTTCAGGTCAATGTGAGAGACCCTGGAAGGGGGCTACGTCTTCCTCGAGGGCCACCTCCTCAACACTGCCAGGGCTCCCCACAGCCAATTTTGTCCTCTTTTGACTCAGTCCATTCTAAATCCATGCCTACTTGGGAAAAAAAAATCACCCATGAATAAATAAAATCCCTCATCTTACTCGTGTAGACACGAATGTCTGCACTCAAGTTCCTCCCCCAACTTCGAAGGGCCACATCTTCCTACCTGCTCGAGGTCGGTCCGATGTTGAGAATGTCCTCACCCTAACTCAGAGTCACTCTTGCCCACCCTGAGGCCAAGCTGTGTCTCGCAGAGGCCCTTGCATTTCCTAGTCGGCTCGAAGGACCTGCTTCATCTGCCCCGTTCACTTGCTTCTGGCTTTTGAATCCCTTTGCAGACCAGCTCTGCAACCTGAACGAGCAGCCTGACCCAACCCCACCCCAGTGGCCGGTACGCAGTCTGTAACCTGAGGAAGGCACAGAGCCAGTGACACAGCGTGGGTCCTGCCAGTCTGACTAAAAAGGCAGGGGCCAGGGTGGACTTAGGAAAACATGTAACTTGGGAAAGTAATAATAAGAAAAAGGACAGCTTAGCCAGGCACAGTGGTGCACTCCTGGAATTGCAGCACTTGGGAAGGTGGGGTGGGATTATTGAACATTTGAGTCCTACCTGCATGACTTGGTAAGAGTCTGTCTCAAAATAAAAAGGGCTGGGGATGGAGCTCAGGGTAAAGGCCCTGCATTCAATTCCCCGTACCACACAAAAGCAGGAAAATGGAGCCTTGCTTATATGAAAATAGTGATTAAAGACCTACCTATATAATTACAGAGTTTGAAGCAAACTCATGTGCATTAGTTTTCCATTACTGCTGTGACAACACAGCATGCTACAGACTGGATGGCATAGAACAATGGTGTCTTACAGTCCCAGAGGTCAGAAGCCTGAAATGGGAGGCTGAGGCAGGAGAATTGCCATGAGTTTGAGGCCAGCCTGAAGTATGTAGCGACACCCTGTCTTAAAATGGATTTTACAGAGCTCCCCTCAAAGAGGTGCAGGGCTGCCTTCAAAAGGGAGAGCCTGTTTTCCCTTTCCTTGGCTTCTCCCACCGCCCCAAGCTGCCTGCATTCCTTGGCTTGTGGTCCCGTGGCGGCAGCAGTTGCAGTCATGCCGTTGCCCCGTTGTCACATCCACATCGTCTCTTCTGACTCTTTGTAGGACACTTGTGATTGCACTGGGTCCCCTGAAAAACTCAAGACAAACTGCATCTCATCTTACCCTTATCCTCAAAGTCCCCTTCACCGTAGGAGGAAACATGTCCACAAGTTCCAGAACCTGAGATGCGGACACCTTTGGGGGACACCATTCTGCCTACCACACCATGGGACTTCAGAAACATCATCCCCAAAACAACACACAAAACTTGCGTCATTCCCTCAGTTTGATACTCGGCCATGACGGGGAGTTTTCTCTCTGCTCACAGGACAGTGAGAACTCTTTGAGACCTCTACAAAGTGCCTCTTTCTTTCCGACTTCCAAAGTCCATCTCCTAGAGATACACTGTCTACGCCCTGCATGTTCCCGAGAGGTTTGGCCATGTGCCACACAGTGACATTTCAATCAGTGACATGTCACCCTCTCCCAAGACCACAGCGGAACTTAGTTCTGATAACAAGTGGCCCATGACCATATTGATTTCCAGGTAATAAAACATCAGAGATTTAAATAAGTGGTATGAAATCTGAAACAAACTTTGTATAAACAGGAGAGATGTTCACACTAATGGAGAGACTTTATTAAGTACTGGGGATCAGTGGAGGATGTTGTTTTGTTCCTGCTTTGTCTCTCCACCACACCACCAAGTCAGCAATCATAGAAATGTATATCATACACTTGTTTTATTAAATATCTACACATAAGCAAGTCAAACTCTTTGCTAGGTATAGAATAACAACAAGAACTGGCATTTCTTTGGTGATTTCACTAACAGGAGCTGGATTTTAGGCTTGGCTCTGATCTGTCTGTAAATCCAGGTGATTTATGAGTGACTCTTAACATTGGACCACTCAAATATGCTGTTTAGTTTAGCTCCCAGGATATCAACAATAAACAAAATCTCTCCAAGTAAACAATCTTGTCCCTCTTGCAATTTGAGTTCAAGCTCAAGTCTCCCTATGAGCAGGACTCTCCCCTTGGCCTTTTTAAGATAGCAATCCTGATGACACAGGGACACGCAGATAAGAGGTACCGACTACCGTAGCCACCCAGCTAGCAATAGGTCAGGAGTCTGCAGAAAAGCTTGCAACCTCTGCCCTGCAATAATCTAAGCTATTCTTCGGAATGTGCCCCTTCCAGGACACAGAATGCCCTGGATATACCACGTCTGACTTCCGCTTCGGGAATTTCCTTTTCCCTAACTTAGATCCTGGTGTGATCAAGACAAAGTCTAAACTCCCTGAATGTTTTGGTGTCTTTTCTATAAGCCCGTTTATGTTTGAAGAAAATATTATTTAGCAAACAACTAGTGCCAGAAAATACTTAATAGTAACAACAAAAATTACCTACTACTCTAGAGAGAGGAAGACTTTCCCCATGAACCAGAATTCTGAAGAACTCTGGGATGGAACGCTTGCAGTGAAACTCTAGACAGCTCTGGAGTCTGGGTCTCCAGCCCTCGCTCCTACTCTCCATGGAGGGCCCGTGGTGAGGACGCTAAGGGCCTGTGTGTAGGTCTCAGACTTGTTCAGCTTTAGGAGGTAGTAGGAAGCCATGTTAGCTGAAGTCTAGGTAGGCAGAACAGCATAGAGTTCTGCTGTGTCCTCAGAAAAGCACCACGCAGCGGTGCCAATAGCCTGGTTTGTGTGGAGCTGTTCGTCCAGTCGGCCCTTCTGTTTCACTGAGCCGGACCCTTCCTGTCTGATCATGAAAGATGACGGTGTGGAGAACCTGCAGCCCATCTGGAATGAGGCAGCACCCTGGAAATAGGAGGCTTTACCCACAGCAAGGCTGTCCAGACAAAGGATGGTGATGGAGCTAGACAGAGGGCCATAAATGATAGCGCAGGCCTCCCTGTTGCCACCACAAGCCCGAAAGGTGAGGGAAAGAAAGCTACCAAAGCTTGAAGGGAGAGAGAGTCGTGGACCAGTGGAGAGAGCCTACTTCAGGGAACCAGTGACTCCCACTTAAGGATGCAACCAGTCTGAGTTGACCTGGCAGGGAGGGTGCCAGGAAAACAAACGGAGCGGCTTCTCCTCCCTTCCTCTGATCTATCCAGGGCTCCCCATTGTGCAAGCCCAGTGGAAACCATGGGGACATTGATGAGCTCCACACAGGTCAGTCTCCCAGGCTGACGGTCGCTGCTGGAGGGGTGAGTGGAGCTGGTGGGTGGCAGAGCCAGTCTCGGCCCTTTTATTCCGCAACGGAGTCAGCTGACTTGTAGACTTGTTCGCCAGACACTTAATTTCTGCTCTGTGGACAGTGCCACATGAACAGCTGAGGGCTCTGAGGTGGGTGTTTCCCCTTTGCTGATGTGTCCAATTCTTGTAGCAAGGTTCATGGCATCACCTTCGTTTGCTTGGTGGGCTGTCCAGAGGGAGATGGGCTTGGGGGGCAGAACATCTGAGCTTCAAGCCCAGCCTGACCCCCAGCCTCTGTTCTGCATGTGCTGTCCCTAAAAGCAGCCACTTCCCACAAGGAGAGGCCTAATCAGTGAGAAGAGCACTTTGCTGGTACTATGGAATCTTCCTCCAGAACTTGAGCACCAGGGAGAACTGGGCATTAGGGTTCTTTCTATAAGATGAGGAGAGTGTATTTTTCTCTTCTTGCAGCCAGGTCTAAAACAGCATCTAAAATGCTCTTAAGTGGGCAAAAATGCCCTCCAGTGTGAGGCCCAGGGCCGCGCTGAGCTGGAGATGTGGATGCAGCCGGCACGACAGAAACAGGAAGGGCCGCTCCTGGCTGGGGGTGAGTGACTGCCACCCTGGAGGCGACGTGGGGAGAAGGGAGCCCCTCAGGCCGGGCTGCGGTGTCTTTTACACATAGTGAAGATACACGTGGCCAATCTGATGGGGAACAGTGTAAGAGGTAGAGAGAGGCAGGATCTGCAGTAGAGACTTCAGCCGTGTCTGGCCAGGGAAACACCGAACTTCATTACAAAGCTCCATCAGGCAGCAGGATGGCACAGCCAAAGTGTGGCCCCTGGGCCCACAGCATCCATCTCACCTTAGAATCTGTAGAAATGTAAAAGCAGCAAAAATCAGTCTTCCTCAGTACAAGCCACAGTGGCCTGCCCTGGTTTCCAGTTGAGCTGCTTTCTGAATTGGCAGCTCTACTGCAGTATGGGACATGCGGGTCTCTATAGGAATTTGAGGATTAGTTGCCGATTCTCCAGTGCAGCGGTTTTCAAAGCGAGCTGCCTGGGCCAGCGGCAGCCATGGTCTGGCACTTGTCGCTTGTCAGGAGCGCAAAGTCAAACGTTCACGACAGACCTCGGAGTCAGCAGCACCGGGCAGGGCCAGCAGTCCATGCTCACAAGCTCCGCAGTGACGGTGACTCTGAGGCACACCGAGTTGGAGACCCGTGACGTGTACCCTGGTCGCTCACAGAGGGAGGGAGGGGATGCTCCTGGAGCCCTGGCAGCCCCTCGAGGGGGGCCGGAGGAGGCAGTGGCTCCCCCGTGGAAAGGTGCACAGAGGGGACTGGCAGTGACAAACACAGGGCAGGGTGTGGGTGTCGGGAGCAGGGCAAGGAGATGCAAAGATGAAGGACAAGGGCCTCTGTGGCCTCTTGTCAAAATCCAGAGGCGGTGGGCTGCAAGCGCTGCGCGGATGGAGGTGTGCACCCGGCCACTTGTACTCCCACCTGGTTGTCTTCCTCCTCTGCTTCATTCTTCTAACAATAGCCCCTACTAGTGGTGGGTACTGTCACCGAGGCTGGGACCGGAGAGGTTGGTACGACAGACAGCCGGAGATTCTTCCCTTTGAGGGTCATTCTGGGACGGAGGAAAGAATATGAACTACTCACTGTTCCACCGTGCTGCTCAGGGAGAGTCAGTGGCAAGACTAATGCGTGCACCCCACGTTTCTACCAGCACGACTTAGAGCAGCTAAGTCCTGGAAGCAGCCCGAATGTCCATCAGCAGATGAATGGGTAAAGAAAGTGTAGTATTTATTTATATATAGTGAAGTACTACTCTGCTGCCATAAAGGAGGCTGCATCTTGAGAGCGTAATGTTAAGTGAAATACATAAGACACACAAGCTGAACTATATCACATGGTTCCTCTGGTGAGAAACCCCAAGTATGAATAAAACAAAGCCAGGCGTGGTGGCGCACGCCTGTAATCCCAGCACTCGGGAAGCTGAGGCAGGAGGACCGCTGTGAGTTCGAGACAAGCCTGGGCTACATAGTGAGTTCCAGGTGAGTCAACTACATAGTGAGACCCTGTCTCAAAAAAACTGTGAAGGAAAAGTGCAAAACAAAAGGTGGATATGAGGGAACAGGGAAATAGACCTTTTGCAAATAGGAAGGGGCCCAAGAGATGAAGGAAGGGAAGGGAAGGGTTATAAAAAGAATTAAGATGTGCTATGTGCATGTACTGTTTCCCCATGACAAATGTAATTATTACGGCAAATGTATACTGATAAAAATCCAAATTTAAGAAAAGACTAAAGCAGGAGTTAGGAAGAGGCGTGGTAAAAGTTGGGGAGCAGCCTGGCTATTGCTGCCTCGTGTTTTAAGGACTTTTGTGGAGGGCGGGCATGCTCAGTGAGTGAACAGTTGGAGATCCCTGGAGTTCTCTGCGCCTGACCAGCGGGAAAGGAAGGCCGCGCCAGGTATCAGGAAACGGTGGCCAGCTCCTCAGTGCATTAGGCGCCCGCCAGCGTTGTGTCTGTTATTTAACCCCCAAGCCCCAGTGACCTGTGAGATAGTGGAGAACAGACTAAGGTGTTTGGGTTTTACCCTCAAGCAGCCTTTGAAATGTGCAGGAGGAAGTGTGTGGGGCTTGGTTTGCTGGGCGTGGGTCTCCTTTCTGACCACCCTGGGTCTTGCAGACAGGCGAGAGTGGCCTGAGGAACTTATTCAAGGAAACGCAGAGCCGGGGGCCCCAGGCTCGGGCTTGGTCCCAGGCTTGGGTCTCGGAGAGGGCTGGAGTTTGTGGTGATAATACTTCCGCACCCACAAGAAGTCGGGTCCGAGTTTAGATGCAGCAAAGATGTGTGACAACCTGACTCTAACACTACCGTTTTGGTTTTCTTTCAGGAATGTCCAAGTCACGGGTGAGTGTGCTTTCTCCTCCTCTCCTGATCTTCATTTTGGAAACTGCATGATCTGTTTTCCTCCTGGATGTTCACGGCTGTGCCTTACCCCTTAAGGAAGGCGGACTGTGTACTTGCGACAGTGAGGGGCCGATCCTGTGTATCGGTGTGAGAGCCCCTCTTTGGGGAATGCTGCCTACAAATGCTGAAACTAGCTGCTTTATTTCACTGCTGTCTCTGCGCGGATGGGTCACGTAAGGGGGTAAAGATTTAGGCTTGCGGCTGCTTCTGGCTGGTCCCTGGTAAGGTGCTCGATGTGCCTGGCCACCATTCACGCCACTCACGCCACTCGCGTGTGGACTGGAGAGGGGTGGATCCCACCCTCTTGTGTGTTTCTTCCCGCCAGACCTGCTTTGGTTATCCGCTGAGCATCTTCTTCATCGTGGTCAATGAGTTCTGTGAGAGGTTCTCCTACTATGGCATGAGAGGTAACCATTAGCCGCTTGTGGCCCCTGGGTGAACAGCGCCAGTGGCCGCAGCCCGTCCTAACTCTGTTCCCTTCCTCCTCCACCTGCCCTCTGCCGGCAGCACTGCTGGTTCTGTACTTCCGAAACTTCATCGGCTGGGACGATGATCTGTCCACTGCCATCTACCACACATTCGTTGCCCTCTGCTACCTGACGCCAATCCTCGGAGCTCTTATCGCTGACTCGTGGCTGGGGAAGTTCAAGTGAGTGGTGGGGACTTTCTCGTTAACGAGCCAGAATGCTGATGTATGTTTCGAGGTCGGGATGGTGGAGTTAGATGGAAGAACATAGGCTCTGAGGAGAGCGTTTAGGCCCGTTTCTGTTCAGCATCATACCCCGGAGAGCCTAACACAGTGCCTGGCATTTAACAACATGCATGCAATTATATAGCATCGCATCTTGCCTTGAAGTAATGGCGGGGACCCTGTTAATCGTGATGTATGAAGCTGGGAAAACAAAGACTCTGCCCTCCACACATCTTGGCTCCTAAGAGCTCACACTACTCAGTGGGAAGAAGGTGGAGCCTCTTGCAGGCCCCAGGAATGACCTAGGTAGGGCAAGGGTCTTCATAGTCTCCAAAGGAGTCTGTAAAAATAACCAGTGGTCACTCCTGGCCGACTCTCATTACCAGCCACAAGACTGGTAACTTCCTGTTTAAATCTACGAACACGCATTTATGTACTTTAGGAGAAAATTGAGTCTTTCAACAACTTGAAAGATAAAATGGGTCTTTCCCTTCTCCCAGTCCTCTGGCCAAAGCTTTGCTCTATACCTGAATCCCCTCCCTTTCTGTGACTTACCAGTTCTGTCCAAGTTGGAGAAACAAGTGCATTCAGGGTTGGGCTCTTATAAGTTTTGAAGGACAGCATAGAAGGTGGACAGTTATTGCAGTTTTAACCAAGATTCCCTCCACCCTTTTAAAAACAGGACAATTATATGGCTCTCCATCGTCTACACCATTGGACAAGGAGTCATCTCAATAAGCTCAATTAATGACCTCACAGACCACAACCACGATGGAACCCCAGACAGCATACCCACACACGTGTGAGTTGGTTCCCTCGCTGCCTGGTATTCTCCTGTCTCGCCCTGTGCCTCACATGTCTCCAGAGTAGAGAGAGCTGTGTCCTCACTCAGCAGCCATGTAGAGGAGGCTGTTTAGTGACAGAATCATGTCTTCTGCGTGCTGTATAGTCAGCGTTCTCCTTCATCCAAGGGGCAGTAACTTCCACAGACCTTTGGCCTTAACACCATGAAGTCTCCTCAAGGCTCTGGGGCCTTTGGTTTCTCCTGTTTTTGTGATTCAACTCACTGATCCCTGAACAAGCCATGCTGTGGGCTGGGTAATGTGTTTGAAACTCAAATCTGTACCCACAGTGCCCATGTCTCTGGCCCACCAGCCAATTGGATGGCTGTCCAGACCAGGGCCCTGTCACCTTGCCCTTGAAACCTAAAGGGGGCAGTTTTGGTGAGGGGAACAGCACTGAATATAGTGGACAGCTCAGGTGCCAGGGTCTGAACTCTGGGGAGATGACCTTGGGAAAACTGGCTTCTTAAGAACATAGATCTTGCTGGGTATAATGGCACATGTCTGTAATGGCAGCACTCTGGGAGGCTGAGGCAGGAGGCCTGCAAATTCAAGAGTAACTTAGCAATGGGCTGGTGATTTAGCTCAGTGGTTCTGCCACCTGCCTTGCAAGCACAAGGTCCTGAGTTTGATTCCTGGTACCAAAACAAAAAAAATGAGTAACTTAGCAAGACCATCTCAAAATCTAAATAAATAAATAAACAATTGACCATGAACTTAGAGATGGGTGATGTAGAAAGCAATTATGTGATCTGGGGCAAGTCTTACTCCCTTTGCCTCAGTTTCTTCACTTGCAGTGGCCCCACTTCAGCTCGGACTGCCATGGGCTAATCCAGGGGAACCCTGGGAAGGCTTCCTGGTAATTGACAGGCACTCAAGAAATATTGGCAACCTTTGTTTCCTTTGGTGGAGTTGGTGCGGGACCATGCCTGAAATCATCACAGGAGTAAGGGATGGAACTTTCAACTGATGAGATTTTTGTTGACTTTAAGATGCTGAGAGTGACCACTTCAGACACAAGATTAAAGAGGAGCTTGGGCCAATTAAATCAGAAAGATTGGCTCAGGAAGAATGACTTCTAAAGAGTCCTTTCTATGTACAATATCTGCCTTAACTTTATCTATTTCATGGTTTCTTTTAAGTTTTGGGTTTTTTTTTTTTGTTTGTTTTTTGGTACTGGCAATTGAACCCAGGACCTTCTCACTGAGCTACATCCCCAGCTTTTTTTTTTTTTTTTTTTTGAAACAAGATCTCACTGGGCTCAAACTCGCCATCTCCTTCATCAGCCTCTCACCATGCCCACCTTTAGTATTTTTAAGCAAGATTAGCAATCAAGAAGATATAGGGGAGATTTGTAGTACCCAACGGTAAGTTTAGGAAAGCTAAAAATGACAGTTGATAAATGCTATGATTTATTTTCAATCCAGGATATAAAACACAGATAACCTCGAAAATGCAAAAGCAAATTAAGATAAATCACTCTTTAGTCCTACCACCTGGACATGATAATCAATCTTTCGTTTCTTTTCAATCTTCTGTACTCTGTAAACAAATTAAGATCACACTGCACAACTTGATACTCTGCTCTGCAATGAAATCACGTTTTCCACAGTCATTTAATGCCTGTCTGTCATGAGTCTATTTTGACTGCATAAGACAGTGTTTGCACGTGGTCACTAATGTTGCGTGTGTGTGTGTGTGCACATGCCCGTGTGTGTGTACTGGAGTCTGAACTAGGGCCTTGCGCATGGTAAACACACACTGAGCTACAGCCCCAGCCCCTTACTTACCATTTCAATTACATATTCTTTTACTGGAAATGATCAGACGACAAAAGAATTCCGGTCCTGCTGGGGATTTAGCTCAGTGGTGCTGCTCCTGCCTCGTAAGCACAAGGCCCTGAGTTCAATCTCTGGTACCAAGAAAAAAAGAACTCTAGTCTTTGTTCATCTATCAAGCTGTTGCTTTCAGATTTCCAGATGGTAGAAAGTAGACGGTAGACAAGGGTAAGGACTCGAAGACCCCCAAGTTCAACTTTTCATTTAGCTCTTAGACTTCATTCCTGCAAATTATCTTCCCATCAAGTCAGCATCCCTTCCCCGTGTTTACAGCTGTCCCTTATCCTCTGAGAGACGTCAGAGGAAGGCTTCTGCGACAAAGAACCTACCTGCCACCTCAGCCCTAACCTGCTCCTTTCCCTAGGGTGCTGTCCATGATCGGCCTGGTCCTGATCGCTCTCGGCACAGGAGGAATCAAACCCTGTGTGTCGGCGTTTGGTGGTGATCAGTTTGAGGAGGGCCAGGTAAGAGTGTGTTCCTCCACGGGAGACGCCTCCGGGAATCCAGCTCCACAGACGCTGAGTCTGCTCTCCATTCAGTTCGAGAGCTCTTGAGAGCGAAACCCTGACCAAAGCCAAGGCCCAGGTGAAGTCAGGTGTCAGAGCCACCTGCTTAGATGATACATAGCCCGAGTCGTCATACTCTAACTTTATCCTTTCCATCACAGGAAAAGCAAAGAAACAGATTTTTTTCCATCTTTTATTTGGCCATCAATGCTGGAAGTTTGCTTTCCACCATCGTCACTCCCATCCTCAGAGGTAAGGGATATCTGAAAGGGACTTCTGTTTTCTCTTTTTGAGTTGCGAAGAAGGTGGTCAGGTAAAGAGGCTGAGCCATCGTATTATGGCTTTGCTTGGTTCCCCTCTGACAGTTCAGCTGTCCTGCACTGAGGTGAACATCAGCAGCCAAAATATGAGCTGCTTTTCTTGCGAGTTTTGCCTCCCCTTCTAATCTTAGGTGAATCCTTGGTTCCATTCACCCCTGGGGAGTTCAAATCATCCCTAGCACAGGCACCAGTCTTTCTAGTTTTTCATGAATGCAGACTCCTTGTTCAGGGTGAGAAATGAGTCAAAAAGAGTGCTTCGAAACAAGGGCTTGACATTGCAGCCTTCGAGCTCTGCAGCCTACTGATGTTGGAGTGGCCGGAAGTGAGTGGGCAAGGTTTTGTCCTTTGCTTCCTCACGTCTCATGTGTTTCTGAAAGAACCGCCCAGAGCAAGAGAATGAGACAGTAAGTATAGATAACTGTCAGGTGCACTCGGATCTTTGCACCCTTCATTGAGAGTTTGTGACTTTCCTATCATACTTCCCTAAAAATAAAACTGACTCTTTTTTTTTTCCTCGTTGAGTTTATTGGCACATTTTAGGGATACAGTACAGTTACCTTCATCATTGGGATCCTGTACCTCTACATGACAGGTCTTGGTTCTCATTTTTTCCCCTTGTCCCTGCCTTCCCTTCACCCCTCCTCCCCTCCCCATTTACAAACACTTTATTTCCATTTTTTCATTTTCTTATATTTTTTTCCTTTCCCTTATTCCCTTTCCCCTACCCTTCCCACTTGCCCTACACCTTTAGCCCTTTTCTTCCTATTTCACATTGTCAATTAAAAACTGAGTCTTGTATTAAGTTTTGCTCCGGAAATGCGATGGGGCTCATTCTCAGGGGATGTCTTATTTTTTCATGTACATCAGTCTACGCTTACTCATGTGCAAAAATCTACATGTATCCAGTAGAATCATTTGTCTTCATCTCAAACATTGTCATAACGCTCTGCCCCCCGCCCGCCACACCAAATTCTGGCCTGAATTTCTTGCAGCTATAGAACCATTGGCTCCAAGTCTCTCATGTCCAGCAATGGAGCTGTCCTTCAGTAAGCGCTTCTTACCCACGCAGCCTGCTCACTCACAGTGCATTGGCAACACAGCTGTCAGTGACTTTATCTCATGAATTCTTCACCCAAGCCACAACCTCTTACTGTCTGGGCTTTACAAAGTTCCCATTAAATCAAGTGTTAGTTGAAGACTTAAGAGACAAAAGTGGCAACAAAAATGATGACAGTTAAGGATGAAGGTCCACACAAAAGCAACAAAACATTTCAGACACCCAAATTCAGAAAACACTTCTTTATTTCACAAGAGTGCATTAAGTACATTCACTACAACACACGCCAATACTGAATATGAAGATTTGTGTTAGACACAACTACACCTGTTCCTTATCAAGTGAAATCATCCTTTTGTGCGTTGCGACTGTGTTCCAATGGGTCATTCAACAAAAAAATCTCGAGTTCCTCTGTTTATACGGACCTGTACCTCTGGCCCAGAGGTGCCTGCTGGGTATTTATAAATAATGTGCTTAATTGTAATTTCTATTCTCATTTATTTTAAGTATTAATGTCATTTGTATTTAATTATGTTTTATATTATTATTTTATAATTCAATACATCTGTCCTGTGTTGCAGCATAAGTACTAAATGTTTTTGGCTGGCTGGTGATGTAGACTGGGGCTTACTTGTAGGTCTTATATCCCGAGCGTCCTGAATAGTTGCGCTAGGGCTTATTTTCTGGGAAATATGGTATGTGGGAAGGAATGCCTGGCATTATTTGGCATAAATTAACAAAAGCATGGTATCCACGCTGGAATCAAATGGAATTATGCAATAAAATATTTTATAAGAATTCATGTATTTCTGCAAAGATTAGTGGTTTGAAACTGATGGATACTTAACCTCCATTCCAGCTTACTAATTAAGGAGAGAACTAGACAGCTGTTAGAATCAGTTCAAACAAGGATTTTTCTCACAGAGATCTTAATGTGTTATAGGAGGAATTACTTCGAGTTGTCGTGAACAATAACATTTGCACATCTGTCAACAAGAAATCCTTGCATGACTGTCATCTTCCTACTGATTGCCTTCTGCCTCTACAGAATGTGAAATAGCTGTCCTAGACCAGTCAGAATCCCTGTAGGGTCGGGCCATTCCTGGAGGCTCTGGCATCCTGCTAAAAGGGTCTTCACTAATCTCTGCTGCCCTCACAAAGCCTTACGGTTTTCCTTACCAGTGCTAGGATTTCAGAGCTAAAATACCCCTTGGAGGTTGGTAGACTATGACCCTATAGGCCAAATCCAGAAAACTGGACAAGACCATTGATCTAGATATTGTCTCTGACTGCTTTCCCCTACAGATTCAGAGTTGAGGATTTTTTTAAAATTTTTCACTATTTTATTTTTGGATACATATTTGGTTAAAAATCAGTGAATTTCAGGCCGGGGATTTAGCTCAGCGGTGCTATACCTGCTTCACAAGTACAAGGTCCTGAGTTCGATCCCCAATACCCTGAAAAAAATTTTAAAAATCAGTGAATTTCTCGGCCTGGTTGACAAGCTGTTGTAAACAGTTAATATTGTCTAGACCCAAGGTATGTTGCAAATACAGTCTGAAGTAAAAAAAGGGAAATACCACCTTTCTACAGATAGGCTTGAATATTCGAATCCAGTGTGTTAAGATGTTTCCTTTCTCTGGTATGTCTGCTAGAGCACCATTCACAGGTAGAGCCAGGAAAGCAGGGTACAGATCACCAAAAACTGAACCAATCAGTCCAGTCCGTGTCATGGTACGGGTTTCACTATTCAAATCACGAAACTTGCATAAGAGACATTTGCTGACAAAAACAGGATCCGCGCCGTTGGTAAGCCGGCAGTTATATGAGCCTTTGTCACGTTCAAGGTGCGCTGAAAAAGACTGTTTGCTCCCAGACCACGGGAAGCAGTGAGTCCAGTATATGTTGATCGATGTGCAAGTCGACTCCTGTCTGTTTCTGGAAGTTGGTTAATTTTTCTGGCTATGATATCAGTTAAGTGTGCCTTGATAGTGTCATCTGGTTTGTGATTTTCCATCTTGAGCCTTAGACTCTCCTCCTGCATTCTTCCTCCTCCGTGCTGTGGTTTACTGGGGAGGGTTTGTTACAGAGACCAAACTTGCCCCAAACACTGAAATGTTTACTGACTGGTCTTTCACAGAAAGCAGTTGTCAACCTCTGCCCAAACTTCTAATATTATCTGATTGTCGTGACTACAGGAGTACGAATATTGATTTTCCAGTGCACTTTTGCTTTCATTTACTGAGTTCCTAAGTTATTGCATCCTGGTCAGATTTATCTCCTCCATTTGGAAAATCCACAGAACAGGGCCCACCCAGGATCACACATCTATTTACCAGCTAACATTAGAACCTGCCTCCTCTCCTGCTCTTTCTACTACAGTGCCGCTTTGCTCGATGGGGGTGACGTCAGTTAGACGAATGGAGAAGGTGACGATCATTAAGTGGAAACAACATGTAATTACCAGCATTACCAATACCATAATGAATGTGAATCTTGTCATTTTTTCCCCAGTTCAACAATGTGGAATTCACAGTCAACAAGCTTGTTACCCACTGGCATTTGGGGTTCCTGCTGCTCTCATGGCTGTATCCCTAAGTAAGTAGAAGCTGCTTGGATTAATACAAGCTGGGGACCAGGTCAGACCCTACACTGATTATGGTGACTAAATTTTTAGTCTACAAAACAAATTGAAACAAAAAATAGAGTGAAGAATAAGGTATTAACTGTGTGCTCTCTCGCAGAGAAGAAAGTAAGGACTTACAGGAAAAAGGATCGACTGAGTTGAACATTTAAAGGCCTGGTGCTTCTGTAGGCAGGCGATAGAGTTTACTAGGCTCGCTGAGCCTGTGGCTGAAAGCCTTTGTTCTTATCAGCATTTCCTTACCTGCAGCTTGTTTTTCAAAATGGCAACCTGGTTCAGTTGCCGCTGAAATACTCCCAGTGAATGTTTAAGTTCCCATGATCTTTCACCCTCAAATGTCTCTACCAGAAGTCCTTCCCTCTAAAAGGCACACAGGTGTGTGTTACATGCATTCATCTGCACATTCTCGGCATTGGCTTTTTTTTTTTTTGGTACTGGGGTTTGAACTCAGGACCTCGTGCTTGAGATGCAGGTGCGGTGCCACTTGAGCTAAATTCCCAGCCCGTGGCATTGGCTTTTGAGGAAAGGTGTAGTTTCCTACGTGAGACAGTCTGACTTGGAAGGTGGTAGAACAGAGACGCAGCCCAGTGGCCACCTCGTGGCTTCATAGCCTCTTCTCCTGCTCTGGTGACAGAGCTGGCAGCAAAGGCATCACTTTCTCCAGTTTTTGTTTTCAGGTCTTACTAGTATCAAACGGGCCCAGTTTTATCTCTTGTTCACATTCTAGCAATTTTGCTTTGTTCTTACATTCATGGGAGACTCAGTGTTCTCCCCTTTTTGGTATGTCTCTTTCCTTCCCTGATTCTTCAAACACTGCTGCACTCCCCTAAAAGGTTCCCAGGGCTTCTTCTCTTTAATTCTGGATGGCAGGCAGGTGGCATTTTAAAAGGTCTTGTTTATGCCAGACGCTGTATTGCGCACCTTCAGTAAGTTCTAGGTTAGTCTGGAAGTCGTCCTTAAAGTTTTTCTGACGGAAGAATTGAGAACAGACAAAATCCTACATGTCGACACCACCTGTGGGAATTTCTGCGTATGAAGTAGGCTTCTGTTTATCAGAAGCTGAAGAACACGTCTGGCTTGGTGGTCCGCACCTGTTAGCCCAGCCACTGGGGCGCTGCGGCAGGAAGATCACAAGTGCAAGGCAACTGGACAGCTTAATAAGGCCCTGCCTCAAAATAATATTTTTAAATTTTCTAAAGGACTGAGGATGTAGGTCAGTGGTAGAACACTTACCTTGCATGCTCCAGACCCTGGATTCAGTCTCTAGTGCTGGACAAAAAGGTTTTAAAAATTAAAATGTTAGGTGGCAAAAGAAAATGTGAACTTAGTCTTTTACACTTCCTTACCTATGTGCATTTCTGCCTTGAGGAAGGCTGGCCTCAGAGAAGGACAAGCAAATGTTTCCCTGGTCAGCCATATATATGTGGAGGATTGAACTCAGAGTGGGCACGCTGAGCTACATCCCCAACCCCTTTTACTGTTTATTTTCAGACAAGGTCTCACTGTGTCACTAAATTGCCCGGCATGGGCTTGAACTTTCCATCCTCCTGCCTCAGCTTCCCAGAGTGCAAGGATTACAGGTGTCTCTTCTTCATTAAGGAAATCAAGTGTGAATTCAAGTGATCCATTATTGTTCTGTATTTTTTGAATTGTGGTATTGGACAATCAGAAATCCTGCGATAGGGACTGTTTTCAGAGTCTCTTGCTTTTTCTCTTACTGATTCTCACAATATGCCTCACAATATGCCTTTTGCTGACAAGGTCTATGAAAGAACAGCTTCATTGCAAAGTGCTTCCAGTTTTTGTAAAACAAGCTACAGATGCAATTAATTGTAACTGTGCTTCTGTACGATGACCATAGGAAAAAGATTCTACCATATATGATTAAGTTTCAAAAGATTAAGTTCTTTTGCTTGAATATTAAAAAGAAAAACGATAATATTTTTCCTGCCACTGTAGCCAGAAAATTAATGCTATGTTTGTCTGTAGAATAATGCATGAATCCTGTATATGATAGCATCTACTCCTTTTGTCTCCCTTTAAATAGAGCTTGTGTTTGAATTGCTGAACTGGGTCTTGAGCTGCCTGCCCTACATTCTGGGACATTGATAGGTCGTACTCGGCTTGAACGTTTATGTGGTGGAGCACAGACATGGTATCACTCAGAGGGTTTGTGATTGTTAGGCTCAAAAGCACATCCTCTTGTGGTGGCTCACATCTGTAATCCCGGCACTCAGAGGCTGAGGCAGGAGGATCCCCATGAATTCAAGACCAGCTTGGGCTATGTAATGAGTTTAAGCCTAGCTGGAACTACACAGTGAGACCCTGTCTCAAAAAACAAAAAATAAACAAACAAAATTCTCAACTATGAGGTAGACATAGTTGAGGTAGACATTACCTCAACTATGAGGTAAAGCCTTTCTACAAGTAAGCCAGTTATTTCTGAACATTGTTATAACTCATATAAAAGCACATCTCAGGCCACAGGTAGCTCTGGCAAATCCCACATTAACACATCTTTTTGTCCCTTTAAGTTGTATTTGTCATCGGCAGTGGGATGTATAAGAAGTTCCAGCCACAGGGCAATATCATGGGTGAAGTGGCCAAGTGCATCGGTGTAAGTATTTCCGTAACCCTTTGTTGAGGTGTCGAATCACCGCAAACCTCGCACCTTCTTTCAGTTAAAATTCAATCCTGCCTTCGCTTTCCCTGAAGCATATCTTTAGTGTCTTAACTGTTCTGATCAACTTTAATTATAAACTTCTTACAAAACTCACCAAATGGAAAAGCACACAACAGAACTGAAGACAGGAAGAACAGAAGTGGCTTTTGAGCTGAAGTAAGATAGTGTCAAAAGGGCTCTTCCTCTATCACATCGGCAGCCAGCCTGATGTTTTTCAGAGAAACAAGAATGGGTCGCTGCATTCAGCAATGTATATCAAGAGCACTGAAGGCCAAAGGGATTTAGCTCAGTGGTTCCATCGCCTGCCTTGCAAGCCCAAGGTCCCAAGTTTGATCCCTGGTACCAAAAAAAAAAGTACTGAATCCCTGAGGTCAGTGATACTATTTGAAAGAAATAGGCTAATAATATAATATAATATATGTAATATATAATATAAAATAGGCTAAAGTAATATTTTTAAATGAATATAGATTCACCTACAAAGAATATCGTTGTGCCAGCTACAGTGAAACACACTTGTAATCCCAGCAGGAGGCCGAGGCAAGAGGATCACAAATTCAAACCCAGCTTGGCCAGTTCAGCAAAACCCTGTCTCAAAGATAGAAAGGGCTCCGATCTATATCCTAATAACTCATCCCCACCCCCTGTTGGCCTCATTCCCCACTTCCTCGTGAAATGTTTTTTACTTGGGAGAATTTAATAGAAACTTCACCAGTTAAAAATAAAATAAATAGGACTGTGTATGTAGCTCAGTGAGAGTCCCTGGGCTCAATCCCCAGTACTACATAAAAACAAAACAAAACAACAACAAAAAAACAACTATCATTGTAATTTTTTTTTTTTCAGCAAGAATTTAAGTCCACCAGATTGCTGAACATAGGAAAGTGCTGCTTAAATTGCAGTACATCTCTGGCATATTACATAGCCATCTTGTTTGCAAAGAATTTGGTGATAACAAGAATGTGCAGAATTTTGTTTTTTCCATATGCATCTGTTGAGATATGTACTCACCGGAACACTTATAGGCAGGCAGTAAACATTGAGAGTAGGAATCTTTAGAAAACAGAATCCATAACTTTCCCTTTACATACTTTTTTGGTGACTATACGTGTCATAGAACCGTGTGGCCCGCATCCTACAGTCAGCCTACAGCTCTGAGTTACTGCCTTTTGGTCCCATGCACGTCCCCAGCCAACACCACCTTCACTTCCTCCCTCTGCTGTATCATTGCAAATGTGCTCTGTGTGCGCCAGCCTATTTTCTGATCAGGGTTTCCCTCCATTGAAATATGTGCTCAATTCATTGGTTATTTTATGGACTGGATTATAAGACATCACCATAGTTTTTTAAATTCTGTTCTGTTCTTTTCTCTCTCTCTCTCCCTCTCTCCTTTTTTTCTAGAGATGAAACCCAACCCAAACCCTTGCACATACATGCTAGATGAGTGCCCTACTTTTGTTTTCTTAAAAATGTATTTCTGAGGGGGGTTTTGGTCTTAAATTTTTTGAATAATGCTCAATTCAGTTACCAGAAAGATTTTTAATAGGTTTGGAACAACCTAGTATATAAATCCAATTTTTAAAACATGAATTTTTTGAATATGAAATTTGAATTTTTAAATATAAAATGAAAGCCAGGTCATATGTTTCTGATTAAAAAAATTTAACAACTAAATTGAGATATGTCATAAGCGGACCTATCTCCTTCAGTTTTAAAAATTTGTGATAAAGAGTGTAAAGATTCTCATTAATTTTTAATAGATTATGTATTCAAATCATTTGGGGGTTTATTGAGTTCAGTATGATCAATTTCAGACGAGTTTTATGTGCTTTCCTTTCATTTGTTCAAGCTGCTACTAGAACGCAAGCACTTCTGTAAAGGCTGTGGAGTACATGGTGACAGTGTGACTCTGTTTACCCCGACTGAGACACCTTCATTAGGAGGAGACTAGAGACCAATGCATGAGCCTTGACCTGCCGCGTCCTCACTATACTGAATATACAACTTTGTACTTTGCTTTGCTCACTGATTTTTCCACTAGAGGGTGTGTGATTGCAATGTATTTCCCTGAGGAAGTTGTTGATTTTGTTTTGAAAGTTTATTTTCCTTCCTTCTTTCAGTTTGCCATCAAAAACAGATTTAGGCACCGGAGTAAGGAATTTCCCAAGCGGAGGCACTGGCTGGACTGGGCTAAAGAGAAATACGACGTACGGAACCGTTCTTGCTACAGCCCTTCTGGGTCCTTCATAGCGACTTCCAAAGTCACAGCTCCGTGAATTCAGTCTACAAGGACGCAGTTATCAGTGATACCCTCTCACCATTATTAGCATATTAAATAAGTCTACACCTAAGTATATTTTTTTCCCATTTTTACTTTTAAATGTGTTTGCAGTGCATAACGATCACATTCTTCATGGGGAGTTGGTCTATGTACATAGTGTTTTCTTTTATAAGTTGAAAATTTGATAATGGATATAATTTATCTGAAAATAATATTACCTTTTCTTAGCTTTTCATATGGTATAGCTACCATTAAGTGTATGTAATTACGATTATATAACTTTAGTTTGAATACAGAAGAGGTAAGGGGTGGTGATGGGATTTATAGTTAGTGGAATTTACATTTTGCAAACTCTAGTAGCATTTTTCCTCCTAATCAGATGTTTTCACTCACCTTTTCAGTAGTTATCCAATGCTTCCTGTGGTGGTGTCCTTTGGGACGTTAATCGCCTCCCAGTTAGTCTCTAGGTGCAAATGTCTGACCCTGAAATGAACAGTGCCTGGGCTCTGTGAGTGACTCAAATCGTTGTTTCATTTTTTTTTCCTCCTTGCAGGAGCGGCTTATCTCTCAAATTAAGATGGTTACAAGGGTGCTGTTCCTGTATATTCCGCTCCCCATGTTCTGGGCCTTGTTTGATCAGCAGGTAATGTTTCTGTGTTTAGCAAACATACTCTGAGTACTACCATGTACAGAGCCATACTTCATTGTTATCTCTCGGGCCAGGGATTTAGCTCACTGGCACCACGCCTGCCTCACAAGTGCAAGGTCCTGGGTTCGATCCCTGGTACCAAAAAAAAAAAAAAAAAGAAGAAGAAGAAGTCATAGCTCTTAAAAATGTTCTCTTACAGTTTCTTTTTTTATTTCATTTATTTAATTGTTATATCACATTGAGTTTACCTGTGGGGGAAAAAATAGAAAGAAACAATTCTCAAAGCTTCTGATCACTGTTGCAAACAATTAAACAAGTGAGGCAAATGAGGCCCGGTCCAGACAGTAGCTCTGAGGAAGATTTTATCAGCATCCAGGACTCCTGCCAGTCAAAACAGAGGGGAAAGAGAGCTTGTTGCCTACTGACCCAGCAAGATAAAAAGATGTCCTGCCCTTGATGGGATCCATGGAGTGTTGAAACTGAGAGGCCTTGTTGTCTTTCTCTCTAAAATGGAGTGCCATTGGCCTGTGACGGAAGTCATCCCCCAGACAGGGACCCAGCCCAGCAGGGTGACTTGCCTCTTGGCTCTTCCTGCCTGTCGTCCGCGTCCATAAGGTGCAGGTTAGAATCCTGCACAACAGTGCTGGGCAACTCAATGCACAGTGCTCAGGAGCTGAAGAAAATAGGAGAGTGTTTCTTTTAGAAACTGAAGTTTAAAAAAAAAAACCTATAAGCACATGTGTTTTTATTGTACAGGAAGACTACTGTAAGTGTAAATCACCCCTTGGGAAAAAACTGAGCACATACATTAATCTCCTTATGTGTGAGCATGAGGTGCAGGGGCAGGGAAGGGGCCCTGTGTGCCAGATAGGCACCCACCTCACCTACTGCGGGGTGACTTGGTGTGAGAACTCCTAGCCCTTCTGGAAAGGTCCTGATAATCCAGCTCGAGGCTGTGAGGCTCACACTGGGGCTGGGTGTGAAGTGAGGGGTGGCTGGTATATGTTAAGAACGGTGAAGGGGTAGATTTCTTTGTATGAAGGCCTTCTGGTGGACACGATGCATTTCATATTACAGTTGAGTCCGCCACAGAAATCATTAGTTGTGCAGTGTTGTTTGCCCCACACTGACCAAATCAAAGTAGGCCATTTATTTACTTATTTATTTATTTTTGGTACCAGAGATCGAACTCAGGTCCTTGTGCTTGTGAGGCAGGCAGCAGCACCACTGAGCTGAATCCCCGGCCCTAGGCCATTTGTTTTGTTGTTGTTGTTGCTGTTTTTGTTTTGTTTTGTTTCTGTTTTTGTTTTTGTTTTGGTGCCAGGGATTGAACTCGGGACCTTGCGCTTGGAAGGCATTTATTTTAATGAAAAGGAAAAATCTCTATTCAGAGCCATCGCTGAGGAGAGGGAGGGCCCTCCTGTGCCTCCTGTCATCATCTGGCTGTGTCTAGGTGCGCAGAAGTCCTTTATAGTCAAGGACAGAGGCGCAGGTGCACAGAGACTGTGTGCTTTATCCATCCAACCGGGTCCAGCTCGCTTCCTTCCTTCTGTGGGGAACGGAGAGGGGCTCTGGCCTCCCGGGGCCAGTGTCCACATGTTCTGCCCCTCACGCGACTGAGGACAGGAGGAGGTTGTACACCCAGCAGGAGGAATTTTGCAGGAGTTGCTAATCTCTGAAAGGAGACACTGTTTATCTCTGAAAGAAAAAAATCTAACTTCTAAGAGATCCATTTTACCATGCCAGTTACGGGATCACTGTTTACAGCAAGTTAACTGGCCTGCCCAGATTGGGGTTCACACTGTCTCGAGGGGGTCCACTGTAAGTCCTTTAAGACATTAGATGTGGCACCAGGATGTGGTTCTGTGTGTGGCATCACTGGCGAAACAGAAATGCAACTTCTTACTTTCTACTTTGTGTTACCATGCAGCTGGGAGGCCAGCTTTTTTTTGGTACCAGGGATCGAACTTGGGACTTTGTGCTTGCAAGGCAGGTGGTGGAACCACTGAGCTAAATCCCTGGCTGACTTGGGAATTTTTTAAAAGCCTGTTGCCAACTGATGCAAAAATGTGTTCATTTTTAAGGGCTCCCGGTGGACACTGCAAGCGACAACTATGAGCGGGAGAATTGTAAGTTTGGGATCTCGTATTTTGCCTTCCATGGTCTCTGCTCCTTTGTTTTAGTACTTTTGTCCTCTTTCTCCTCCTTCCATGGCATTTTTCAATGAGATTTCCCCTTTCCTTCTTTGCAGGGAGCTGTTGAAATCCAGCCGGATCAGATGCAGGTAGGAGGAAATTGCAGAGTTGCTCCTAGAGCCCCCAAGTGGTCCTTGAGACAACGCTGACCTCCTCTCTGCTTCCCTGCAGACTGTGAATGCCATCCTGATTGTAATCATGGTCCCTGTCTTTGATGCTGTGATCTATCCTCTCATTGCCAAATGCGGCCTCAATTTCACGTAGGTTCCGGGTTGGTTTGGGCTGGTATAGGTGCTGTTGGTCCGGGGCTTCGCTTCTGGCATATCAGGGCAAGGACGCCTTCCCTCAGTTGATAGGGTTTTTAAAGAAATGAACTAGGATTTTTTTTTTTGCTGATGTTTTTTTAAAATGCCTTTAAAATCAAAGTCCTAGCTGGGTAAGGTGATACACAGCTCTGATCTCAGCACTCTGGGAGGCTGAGGCAGAGGATTGCAAGTTTGAGCCCAGCCTGGGCAACTTAGAAGTTTAGTGAGACCCTGTCTCAAAAAGAGGTGAGGAGTATTGGGAATGTAACTCGGTGCAAAGGTCCTGGGTTCAGTCCCTAGTACTGTAAAAACTAAACTAAACCAAAATAGATGAAAAGGTTCTTAAAATTCCATACATTGTGCCTGAAAAGGCCTCTCATTAAGGCTATCTTATGTATGTGTGGTCAAAATATACAATGAATGTTTACATTTTTAAAATGTGTATTACAGTACAAGACACATTGCCATTAATAACCCCTCAAAATATTCCCCTCACTTTGAGCACCCTTATCTCGTTGCTCTTGCCACTTTCTGAAGCAGTTTTCTACAAGGCTCTTTTGGGTCTTTAAGAGATGTGCTTAAAAAAAAAAGAAAGAAAGAAAGAGAGAGAGAGAGAGAGAGAGAGAGAAAGAAAGAAAGAAAGAAAGTTCAGTAAATGCCACTGCTTAGTGACATTCCCAAAGTCAAAATGACCATGAAAGGTGAACATTCTGAATCAAGACAGCAACAACAGCACAGTTAAAGACACTCATGAAAGAGGACTGCACAACTGCTTCAGAAAGCAACAAGAAAGTTGGGGTGATAGCCAGGCATGGTGGCGTATGCCTTTAATCCCAGCACTCGGGAGGCTGAGGCAGGAGGATTCCTGTGAGAGTTCAAGACCAGCCTGGACCACATAGTGAATTCCAGGTCACTCTCAACTACATAGTGAGACCCTGTCTCAAAAAAAAAAAGAAAGAAAGAGACGAGGTGAGTGTGTTCAGAGGGAGGGGGAGTTAATGTTAATGTATCTTTTACTTTAATAAATACTTCTTTAAAAAAATTTGAAGCACTCACTGTATTTTTAAATCATACCATGTGGTGATAAAATGTGAGCTGCAATCCTGAGCGTCACCTCAACTATTGTTTCTGGAAATGAAAACATACAAATGTCAACGAGAAGTGGTATTCCGTCTGCTGGCCTTAGCCCTGGTCATAGAGTGAGAGACATTTCCCAGTGCCTGTACCTTTGTAGGGACTTGGTTGCTCTAGAGGAAAGGTGGGGAGGCGTCCTCTGAAGCTCAGCTTAGCGTCTCTGAGAAGCTGCCTGAGGCTCGCTTTCTTCTCGTGTCCATCAGCTCCCTGAAGAGGATGACATTCGGAATGTTCCTGGCTTCCATGGCCTTTGTGGCAGCGGCAGTGGTGCAGCTGGAAATTGATGTGAGTCTTCTCTTAAATTTCCAGTATCCTTCCCTGGTGGGCTTAGGGAGAGTACACAGAACCTCTCTCCAGGACTAAGAGGACTTGGGGACCCTGGAGTCTTTCCCTATATGTAGTTCTAGGCCATGGAGCTACCGAATGGTGTGGAGCAAGGGTCAAACTAGTCCCTTTCCATCCGTGAACACTGGATTGTCACACTGCAAAGGCGCAGCTGGGAGTAGGGTGGGGTGGGTACCCCCCTTTAGAAGAAGAAAGTTAGGTAAACAGCTTCCACTTGCAATCCAGTTTTCATCGTGGAGGAAGTTTATGGTTCTTTTGAAATCTAAACTTGTAGAAAATCTGATTTAGTTTTAGTCATTCATGAACTTCAAAGCATGCATATAGCCTTTTTGATGGAAATACACATTTTTGGATGATAATGTCTCTTATAATAGTCCCTAAGCTAATCCACATCTGTTGGGCTCGCAGTGCACTAAATTAATCTCCTAATGTTGTCAGCATGAAATCAGGCCTTAGTTTCAGAAGTAGGTGTTCATGTGGTATGGGAAACATTAAAAAAGAGGGTCTCTCTCTTTCTCTCTCCTTTCAAGTTCTTTAAAATTAAAAAAGTTTTTAAAAATTAAACTGTGATAAATGTAACATGACGCCTTGTCCATTATGCATTCACGTGGTTGTGTACCCATCCCCAGCACCCTCTTCCATCCGCCCAAACTACACCTCTGTATTCATCAAACAACAACTCTGTGTCCCTCCATCCCCCCAGACTCCGGCATCCACCGTTGTACTTCTGTCTGTATAAATTTGATTGTTCTAGGCACCTCAGATAAGCAGGACCATGGAATATTTGTCCTTCTGTGATTGGCTTGTTTTACTCGGCACAGCGTCCTCAAGGCTCAGCCACATTGTGGCATGTAATAGGATCTCCTTCCTGTGTGTGTGTGTGTGTGTGTGGTACCGGGGATCAAACTCGGGTCCTTGCACCTGCAACGCAGGCGGTGGAACCACTGAGCTAAATCCCCGGCCTGGATCTCCTTTTGAAAGGCTGAATGATAGTCTGTGGTGGGGGCAGATGTCCCACATTTTCTTTGTACACCCACCTGTGCGTGCACACCTGGTTCCCTTCCACCTCTCGGCTGCTGGGCACAAGCCTGCTCTGACCATGAGTGTGCTCGTTCTCTTGCTCATGGCTGGCTTTGTGGGAAAAGAATTTGGGGCTAAAGTGGAAGAGGATGGCTTTGGTGGCACTGGATTTGAGAAAGAGCATTGGAGAGAGAGAGCGAGAGAGGTCTTAAGCCCAGGCCAGGAGGCCCATGGCTGAAAGCATTTGTGAGAAGATGGTCAGAGCATCCCATTCGGGGCCGAGGATGGGCTTGGAGGACGGGGAGGATCCAGGTGTCAGATCCAGGTGTGTTGCTGAGTGAGCTGCTCTCTCAGGCTGAGGATACTCTGACCCCTCAGACATGGGCTTCACATCCAGCACCCTCTGAGCTGGAGATGCTAGGCAAGGCCGACAGCAGCCTCCTTCCAGTGACCTCCGCATTCTGAATAAATGAATACCCTTTTCTCTGGTCGCCATGAGCCCAGTTCAGTGACCACAGGACAGCAGGGGTGTTCACAAGTGCCTGCCAGTGCAGCTCTGGGTGGCAAGAGGGAAGGGGGCACTCGGGACACAGGTGAAAATGACCTGCATCGCACCAAAGACCTCACTGTCGATGTTTTCTTCTTTTTCACAGAAAACTCTTCCGGTCTTCCCTGAAGCACACCATGTCCAAATTAAAGTCCTGAATGTTGGAAATGATAACGTAATGGTATCTTTTCCTGGAGAAACGGTGACACTGGGCCAGATGTCTCAAGTAAGCACAGGGAAATGCAGGCTTCCTTCCTGAGTTATGATAGGATTTGGAGAAGCAGCTTTTCTAAGCCCTGGTCTAAATCCACCCAGAAGCACAATGCTTCAGTTTCTTGCTCTGTCGCTGGCCCTGCTCTAGGTCACTGTATCTCTGACTTGAATCTGTGTCCCGACCACCTTGCAGCTTGTGAGGATGCAGGTTCTTTTTGTTTTGTTTCTTTGGTTGGTTGGTTATTTTGGGGTTAGTTTTGGTTTTGGTGTTGGTATTTTGAGACACGGTCTCACTATGTAAGTCAGGCTGGCCTTGAACTCACCATGTAGCAGGCTGTCCTCAAATTTGCGGTGATCCTCCTGCCTTAGCCTCCCAAGTGCTAGAATTACAGGCATGTGCCACCATGCCTGCCTAGGATGCAGATTCTTAATGCAGATCAGAAACACTGCATTTCCACAGGCTCCTGGCTACTGCTACTATATATTTTTTTAAAAAATCATGCTTCAAGTAGCAGGGAAAGGCAGTGGTTTAGAACTAGGTGACTGGGTCCTCTGGGAACATTTGGCAATTTCTGGAGACTTCTTTTGTCATTGCAACTGGAAGTGCGCTGTTGGTGCCTCATATGTAGAAGTGGAGATGTTGGCATAACAAAGAATTACCTGGCCCAGGGTCAACAGTGCCAAAGTCAGGAAACCTCGCTCTTGGGGATCATATTCTGGATTAGTTGTTCCCAACCTTGAGTTCATATTGGAGTCACCCAGGAAGCTTTGAAAACCCTGAGAGCTGGGTCCTAACCCCAGAGATCTTGGTGTAACTGTTCTCATTCCTAGTCAGCCTGAGTTGGAACCACTGCCTTTAACCTTGCCACACTAGTGACCTTGAAGAAGGTTAAACATGTCTGACTCCTGATGCATGGTCAGTCCAATCCTGGCTGCACTGGGGCTGTCGCTCTTCCTCTGCTGCTGCTCTTTGCCGAGTGCCAGAAATAATTTCCATGCCGTTAATTTTCATGAAACAAAAGCAAAATGCTTGATAGAAAGGAGAATTCCCGTGGTAATGCTCAAAAGCTTCATGGCAGGATCCGTGAGGCTGGAGCAATACGCAGCAGCTCTCCGCAAGGCATTTTCGATGGGTAAGAAGGTGAACGCGGAAGGTTGGAATGCTAAGTAACTGGGCCCGTAACTGGGCCATCACGGTGTTGAAAGTGTAAGACAAGACTCTGCCATTAACCGTGACTCCTTTCCACCTGTTGACAGACAGATACGTATATGACTTTTGATGCAGACCAACTGACAAGCATCAACATGTCTTCCCCCGGCTCACCGGTCACTGCGGTGGCCCACGACTTTGAGCAGGGCCATCGCCACACACTCCTAGTGTGGGGCCCCAGTGACTACCATGTGGTGAGTAGCCCACATCTATACCTGACTGTTGTTTGTGATGCTAAAGGCGTAGCTTTTATCGGTGTGACTTTGTTTTACTTCTATGTGGTATTATATCAGATAATCCTCAATTCCTTCTTCAGAGACACAAGTTATTTGACTTCTAGTAAAAATTGAACTGGTAGATGGAAAGAGTTGAATACTAATTTGAAAATTTTTTTTGAATCGAGCAGGGTATGATGGGTGTGTGTCATTTATGCAATTGATTTTCTTGGTCCTTTGCTTAATTAGAGAACTATTGACTTTGGTCTAAGTCCTTGGAAAGTAGTATTCTTTGGAAACCCTGGAAATCAAGGATCAAAAGTAGTAAAGGCTCCTGTCAGCCTGAAAAAATAGAGCCCTTCAGATGTAATAAAATTCTGCCCTTACCTACTAGGTTAAGGGTTGATGTCACTGTCCTCAAAGGCTGAAATGTTAATTTTAAGGAATTAGATATTAGAAATGTTTTTATATTATTGTTTGCTCTCCTCAGGTAAAGGATGGGCTTAACAAAAAGCCAGAGAAAGGAGAAAATGGAATCAGGTATGAATATTTCTTTAACATTCAAGATATATTACTTTCTGATGGAAGTGATGCATGTTCATAGTAAAACCCAACTGGAATAAGAGTATAAAATGAGAAGCCAGGCATGGTGGCACATGCCTGTAATCCCAGCACTCAAGAGGCTGAGGCAGGAGGATCGCTGTGAGTTCAAGACCAGCCTGGGCTACATAGTGAGTCCCAGGTCAGTCTCAACTACATAGTGAGACCCTGTCTCAAAAATACAAAACAAAACAAAAAAAGAGTATGAAATGAGAGTATGGGGCCTATTGTAAGAGTGTAAGGCTGGTGCAATAGTTTTTTAAAAATTAGTAAATATAATCTTTCATCTAAATAAACTAAAGAGGAAAATCCACATCCACTTATCAACTGATGCAGAAGGAGCATTCAACATCAATTTATGATGAAAGCCCTAAGCTAATTAGGAGTATGAGAGAGCTTCCTTGCCCTTAAGGACAACTAAAAAACCTTTCCTGGCAAAAGTCCAAATGCTGTCCCCCTAAGAACAGGAACAAGAACAAGATAGTACTCTCCTCATTTCTATTCCACGTCCTTGTGCATGCCAGAGTAGCGAGATAAGAGAAAGACACAAAAACACGTAGATTAGAAAGGAAGAAATAAAGCTGCCCTTACTTACAGGTGACGACTGTCTACATAAAAGTATTTAGGACTCTAATGAAATCAAGATCACAAGGTGCAAGGGTAACAACAGCAAAAATTCACCCTATTTCTCTGTACAAAAATGAACAATTGGAAATTGAGATTTAAATATCATATCATTTGTGATGTCTCCCCCCAAAGTATGAAATGTGTAGCATAAATTGAGCAAAATATGTGGGATTTGATACTAAAAACTACAAAATACTAATGAAGGAAACCAGTAAAGGGCCAAATAAATGGAGATATGTGGTGTGTTCATAGATTAGAAGACTTGATGTGGCACCATCTCTGTTCTCCCCAAACTGATCTGTAGGTTTACTGTGGTTCCTATCAAAATCATGGCATTATTTTTATAAATATAAACAAGCTGATTATAACATTTACATGGGAAGACAAAAGAAATAGACTCCCTAAAATTTATTTAAAAGAATAAAGTTGGAAGACTCATATTACTATGGATTGTAAGACTGTATCAAGCTACAGTAAACAAGACAAAATGATATTGGCGAAAGAATAGAGCCATAGAGGTCATTGAGTTCAGAAATAAACCACACAAGTATAGTCCACTGTTCCTTGCCCAAAGTGCGAAGACAATGAAAAGGATTGAAGGAATTCTTTTCAAAATGATTTTACATTCACATGTAAAAATGAATTTAACCCAAAGCTCCTATCTAAGCTAGACACGGTGGCATATGTCTATCATCCCAGCGCTTGGGAGGCTGAGACAGGACTGCAGGCTCAAGGCCAGCCTGAGCTATGATGCAAGTTCAAGGCTAATCCAGACTACATAGCAAGACTGTCTTTAAATTTTTTTTTAAATTAACCTGATATCTTACATAAAACTTTTGCTAAATTCATATATATCTTATACACAAGTGAACTCAAAATGGATTAAAGATCCATATATAATGTGAAACTATAAAATTTATATAAGAAGCATTAAGTCAATGAGACATCAAGTTCTTAGGACACCAAAAACACAATCCATAGGAGAAAAACTTGATAAATCAAACTTCACTGAAATCAAAACTGTTCTGTTAACCACTGCTCTTAGCAGAATAAAAAGGTAAGCTACAAACTGGGAGAAAATTCTTGCAAACTACATATATGACAAAGAACTTGTATCCAGGATATAAAAAGTATTCTCAAAACTCAATAATATGGGTTGAGGATTTAGCTCAGTGGTTTTGCCACCTGCCTTGCAAGCAAGAGAGCCTGAGATCGATCCCTGGTACAAAAAAAAAAAAAAAAAAAAAATAATCAATAATAAGAAAATAACCCAATTAAAAAAATAAAGCAAAAAACTTTACCAGATATCCATCAGAGAAGATGTATAGATGGCAAATCAGCACGTGGAGACACAGAACATCATTGGTCATTGCCTGTTGGGTGGCTGGGATCGCTTTTTAAAACCTGACAGTAGCAAGTGTTGATGAGGATACAGAGAAACTGGAACTCCCTCTACAGCTAGCAGGAGTGCAAGACGTGATCGTGCCTCTGAGGAGCAGCTTGTCCATGTCTGACCCCAGTACCCTGATTTTTTTCAGTACTGGGGCTGAACCTAGGGCTTATACACAGAGCTACATCCTCAGCCCTTTTAACCTTTTATTTTGTGATAATTTTTCTAAGTCTCTAAGTTACCCAAGCAGGGCTCAAACTTTCAATTCTCCTGCTTCAGTCTCTGAGAGTTCTGGGAGTTTGGCAGTATGTAACATCATAACACACCATAAGAGCTAGCCATCCCACTCCTAGATATTTAACCTAGAGAAATGCAAACATGTTTACATAAATACCTGTACACAAATGTTTCTAGAAATCCTAGTCATAATCATAAAAGACTAGAAATCACCCAGCTGTTCTTCAGTGGGTGATAAGACTGTGGAATATCCCATTCGGTGGAATATTACTCAGCAGGAAAAGGAACTATTGATACACACCATAATATGAATGCATTTCAAATGTGTTATGCTGCAAAAGAATCCAGTCTCAAAAAATTACATGCTGTTCAATCCTTTGACATGGCACGCCAGGAAAGTAAAGTAAGTTCAGAGATGTGGAACAGATGACTGTCATGAGATAAGAGTGGAGAAAGGAGGTGACCACAGGACAGCGCAATGTTTGGGGTGATATGTCCTGTTTGTGATGGTACTTATGAGTCTAGATGTGTTAAAATTTATAGAACTGTACTCTCCCAAAGCCCAATTACTATAAACAAGTTTATAAGAAAAAAATGAGGACAATATGAGAATAAATCTTTTGACATCAACCTTCAACTCCATCCCCATTCCTTAGTGGCTGTACCTTTAGCAGTTTTGTGTTGTTGTTGTTGTTGTTGTTGTTGTTGTTGTTGCTGTTGAGACAGGGTCTCACTGTGTAGTTCAAGCTGGCCCTGAACTCACTATGTAGCTCAGGCTGGCCTTAAACTCATGGCGATCCTCCTGCCTCAGCCTCCCAAATGCTGGGATTACAGGAGTGCAACACCATGCCCATCCATCTTTAACAATTTCTGATTTTAGCTTTCACTAGTATGCATCTGTCCCCTCAAATGTCCCTCCAAAGCCTCATGTGATCATAGGTGGGGCTTTTTGGAGGTAGCTGAATCTAGGGTGTGTAATGCTGGGAGGAAGGATGTGGTCCTGGAATTGATTTGCAGTGTGATGCTAGGATTAATGGTGTGAGTGCTACCTTCCCTAAGGGCAGATAGCCTGGATAAAATATGAGAGACAGAAAGAGGATCCTTGCTTGTTGCTTGTTGCTTATTTCCTGTTGCTTGCTACTGCTGTTGTTTGTCTTCTGCTACCTCCCGCCTGTTCTTGCAGCCCCTCTGCCAGGCCACTCTGCCTTGGAGCCAGCTGATTATGAACTGAAAGCTCTACAAACAGTGAGCTAAACAAACCTTTCCTCCTTTAACTTTCGGTAAAACACTTCAGGGATTTTGTCTCAGCAGTGAGAAAAGTAAGCACTAAAACAATGATAGTAACATAGTATGCTATTAGGACTGTGCCAATTACTAATCTAAAGCATAAAGAAATTAAATTTACTTTTCATCTTCCTCACTTCCAATTTGTTTCATATTTATCATTTCTATATTTCTGTTTTCCAGGTTCTAGGTTGAGTCTAAAAAATAGATCAGTAAGCAGGATTTATACTAAGATCATATAAATATTATCCCAAAATCATTAAATATTATTACTGTATTTATTTTGTTTTTGTTTTTTGAGACAGGGTCTCACTATGTAGTTGAGACTGACCTGGATGGAACTCACTATGTAGCCCAGGCTAGTCTCAAATTCTCAGTGATCCTCCTGCCTCAGCCTCACGAGTGCTGGGATTACAGGCATGTGCCACCATGCCTGGCTAAATATTATTACTTTATATCCTTGAAAAACTTTATATCCATCAGCTTAAAATCTTCTGAATGTCAAGGTGGATTGGAGAGTCCTGTCACATCCCATAAATGGTTCAATGCTGCCTGTCTTGTTGCTTTGGTTTGACCAAAAACAGTGCTGTCTTGTACTATTTTTATGTATTTTTTATTTTTCCTGTAACCCAGACAGCCTTTTGTTGACAAAAGCATATACCTCTAACCAATCTCTAAGCTATCACCTTCTTGATCATACTTGATCATACTACGTCCAGGGAATCCACTTTACTTGCCAAAAAGCAGCTTTTCTGCCTGCTCTGTGACCTCGGGGAGTGCTTGCTCTATGGTCCCCCTGAGCCAGCCAGTCCTCACAGACCTCTCCACTGTATGCCAGGCAAGAGCGTTTCTTTCTTGGATTCCCTGTCATCTTTTCTCAGACTCCTTTCTTGTTTTCTGCAACCCACTCCCAAATATCTTACCAAGATATGAGGTAAGCTGGAAGCTCTTACATAGTGAAAAATGCCTTTTTCTCTTCTCACTCTTGGCTCTTTGGTCACCGGCATTTCCTCCCAGATCTCCGACAGCTCATCTCTGTTGTCTTCTCGCTGCGGTGCTCGCTTGAGGGGGAAAATGTGCCCGCCAGTCTTTGTAATTTATTTCAACTTCTCCTCAATTGTTATGTA